AGTTTCAGGAGATAAATATGTGCCCCTCAGACATATAATTATGTGAATGATTAAAACTAGAATATTAAAATATGTGTGTAAAAACTAATGATTAATCTGTTAATTTATTTTTGAATAAGTGGATGCTCACTGTATTCTTTTCATCCTTTGCTATCATAAACTCATGAGATCAACAATTATTAAAACCACAGTGACTACTAATTTTCTCCCCACAAACTGCTTTCCACAGGATTATTTCTTATAAAGCTAAAATAAAAAGACTTGGGGAGTCAGAAAAGTATGGTTTTATGACAGTAAACAAGAAACTGTCCTAAAACAAAAAGACGTTTTTATTAATGACATTTTAAAACATGGTTTTCAGGATTATGAATGTGCCCACTCCAGATTCTTAACTCTTTATTAAGAGGTTTCTGTCTTCAAAGTTTCGAGGCATTGACTAATTAATTCATCCTTGCCATACCACTGAGAAATAGGCAAACAAGAACAAGTCAAATGGGAGTTGGGTATATTTAGGATTATAATTCTTGTTATTGAAAAAGAATTAGTAGAGATTATAATAGTGTGAAAATAAATAGCAATTAGCATAGAAAAAATATGTAAAGAGGGCAAGAAGAAGTGTAGACACACTCGGAAATCTAGGAGTATGACCCTGAATGAGTCTGATAGTCTGTTGCCAGCAGAAGTGTTAATGGGATATGTTTTGGGAAAGCATGACATGACCTTAAGGCACAGTCATATATGGATGTAGGTACCATAAATTTACTTCAAACCACCTAAACTCTTGGTAGAGGTACACCTCTACCAACTCTTCAAAAATGTTTCATAAATTTATTTTCTGCCATATAAGATGTAATACTTCTTTTGCTTGTCTCAAAGTTACCATTCCCGCTTCTTTCAACTAGTTAACTCTTTTCCATAGATTTTAAGAAAGTAGTTAGCAAATTCAGTTGATTTTATTTATGCTTCTTTAATATTTTACTTCCGAGCTTTTATTTTCTATTTTGGCAAGACTCTTAATCCATTTATTGGGTCTTCCCACCACCATTTTTCATTCATGTTAAATATTCCTTAAAGGATGAAATCCAAGAGCACATAATGTTTAAGCTGCAACAATGGCACCATTTTCCAGTATTACATTTAAAGAAATGTCATTGACATTGCTTTTTATGACAATGCCCAGGGCTGTGTTATTCTTTTTGATAGCAGAAGATTCCTTTGTTTTATATATTATTTGAGGTCATTTATTATTTAATTAAAGGATGCATAACTAATTAGTGACACAGCAAGTTTTCTCATTCATACCTAACCAAAATAGCTCTTCTTCCTGCATTCATAATCTCAACTGGTGACACTATGGTTCACCAGTCACCCAACTAGAAATCTGTGCTTGACTCTAGATGTCCCTCACTTACTCCCAACTTTTATGTCCAATTAATCACAAAGTCCATCTTGTAGGATAGGAGAGATTAATGTCCCAGACTCCTGATCTCCAGTGAAGTGATTCTGATGCAGGTTTTTTTTCTCTACTGTTTCTCAGTCCATGGGTACTGAGGCCCAACCACCTATAATGATAACATGTCCAATACTCGACCTGCTATTGATTTTTCTCTTTTCCTTGCTTTGCTTTTCCTAATTCCTTGGGCAAGTGCCATTTGGGATCAACTTCCAAATAAACTGCCTGCCCCTAAGTCCTTATGTAAAGATTGGCTTTGGGGGTAATCCAAACTAAGTCGAGGCTTGAAAAATATGGAAGCCATGACTGACCAAGGTTGAGAGAATATTACCATCAGAAGGATGTCACATATATGCACCACAGTCCAGAGTTAAGGGTAGCATGTGCAAGGAACTAAAATATGTTGCCTCTGGCTGGCTGGAGCAGAGAGTATAAGGGTAAAAGTTATCAAGTAGTAGGAACCAGTTCATGGTGTGCCCTAGAACTCATGTTTACTATGTTGACGTGACTCTTAGTGAGAATGGGATTCTAGATTGAATGATTTGAAGTGGAGGAGTGATATGCTAGATAATACAGAGCAGCAAGCCCCAATAATTTTGGCACTAGGGATTGGTTTTGTGAAAGACAATTTTTCCACAGAGGGTAGGAGGGAATTGTTTTGGGATGATTCAAAAACATTACATTTATTGTGTACTTTATTTCTATTATTATTACATTATAATATATAATGAAATGATTATACAACTCATCATAATGTAGAATCTGTGGGAGACCTGAGCTCGTTTTCCTGCAACTAGAAGGTCCCATCTGGGGATGATGGGTGACAATGATGGATCATCAGGTATTAGATCTCATAAGGAGCATGCAGCCTAGATCCCTTGTAAGTGCAGTTCAAAGTAGGGTTCACACTCCTCTGAGAATCTAATGCTGCCACTGCTGATCTGACAGGAGGCAGAGCTCAGGCAGTAATGCAAGCCATGGGGAGCGGCTGTAAATATAGATGAAGCTTTGCTGGCTTGCCTGCTGCTCACCTCTTGGCTGCATGGCCCATTTCCTAGGAGGCCGTGATCTGTTGCATGGGGCTGAGGCCCTGGCATAGAGAATGAATTTAAAGAGAAATAGAGCCATGACACTTATGAGGAAGTTATTGCAATGACAGTGACCTATGTTTGGAGAAGAGTATCAGATTGGTGAGAAATGAATGGATTACACAACTCTTTAGAAGACAGCATCTTCCTAAATTGCCATTATGATTCCATATCAGAGTGAAGCAGGCAATATCGGTAACTAAGGAGAACTGGTCTTTTAAACAGGGAAGCATTTCAGTCATTGGTGTTACTCTTCAGAATTATTGATGTATTTGCAAATTTCCTTTGAATATCTATTTGTCCTCAAGAAAAGGTCTTTAACTTATATCTGTATCCATGTATCTTTTTCTTTCTTTTGAGACAGAGTTCTACTCTTTCACCCAGGCTGGAATGTAATTGTCTGATCTCCACTCACTGCAACCTCTGCCTCCCAGGTTCAAGCATTTCTCCTGCCTCTATTTTAGTAGAGACGGGGTTTCACCATGTTGGCCAGGCTGGTCTCAAACTCCTGACCTCATGATCCACCCACCTCAGCCTCCCAAAGTGCTGGGATTACAGGCATGAGCCACCACGCCTGGCCATATCCGTGTATCTTAATCTAATTCCAAACATATTTAAATACTTGCAGTGGCTGAGAAACTCATGTTACAGCCTTTTAGTTTGTATTTGGTGGTAATTGATAGGGTTCATTAGTGATATATGTTTAAATCAAACTCTGAAAGTAAGAATGCATAAGGTAAATTTTACCAATTTACTGATGAGCATGGAAATAAATTAGAATGATGGAAAACAATATACTAAGCAAGTGCTTTCACAAAATTATTCCTGACATCTTTGAGATAAATGATCCTGCCATTGAACCCTTTTTTCATTTTAGGGTTCTTAGTGACCACATATTTCAGCTAGCTCCGTGAAAATGGGTTTTGTTGTTCCTGTTAGCACAAAATAAAAATTATCATAAATATTTTATAAAGATGAGGCTTGCGTTAAAAAGAAAAGAAAACCTAATTGAAAGGCACTTTATGAGCGATTAATTTCATGCCAAATCATTAGAAATTCATGACGGCTATAAAAAAGCAATCATTTGCAAAATTGGAAAAAGTTAAATTCAATCTAGATATACTTTTCTAGTTTTAAAATTTGTGTATTGGGGTGATATACCAATTGTGGAATTTTAACGTAATAGCCTTTTATTATAGGGAGGTTGTACTTGTGTGCTGTTGGGCTCTCAACCAGCTAATTACTTTCCCTCTGAATACTTTTATTTCATTTGATCATCTGTATTATATTAGGTTGGTGTAAAAGTAATTGCAGTTTTTGCCCTTACTTTTAGTGTTTCTCTTGTTTCCTGCATAATAATAATATATCTACTTAATATCATTTGAAACATATAACAAAGATTAGTATTTTTATTTGTTATGGTTTTTAACATTTTAAAATATTTTTTAAAAAGTAGACACTATATACATGTACAGTTAAATATTAACAGCTACAGCATCAGGCCCCTTTTTAGGAAAAAAAAAGGTACAATCTTATGAACTTTCTCCCTAAATCTCTGTAATTTACTCCAAACCAAGTAAAAGAAGCTCTTCAGTAACCAATATTGCTTATCCTACAACTCTTTGTTTTTAAGAGTGGATATAATATGCTAAATTTGGAGAGCTGATTGTATTTGAAAGATAAAACTGTCTGCAGATCAGCCAGGCGTAGTGGCTCATGCCTGTAATCCTAGTACTTTGGAAGGCTGAGGTAGGTGGATCACCTGAGGTCAGGAGTTCGAGACCAGCCTGGCCAACATGGCAAATTCCCATCTCTATTAATAATAAAATAAATGAATTTGACGTGGTGGCTGGTGCCGGTAATCCCAGCTACTTGGGAGGCTGAGGCAGGAAAATTGCTTGAATCTGGGGGGCAGAGGTTTCAGTGAGCTGAGATTGCATAACTTCACTCCAGCCTGGGCAAAAGAGCAAAACTCCATCTCAAAAATAAAAGTCTGCAGGTTTAGATCTGTTGGTCAATGCAAGACATCTTCTATGAAACTGCTTTTCATTATGGAATGCATGGAAAACAAATTAAATATGTAACATAGTGTAACATAAAATCACTTTTGCTTTTTAATCCAATGAATCTTGACATAACATGCACTACTATTTTGGAGGAACTAGTCAAACTAAAAAGAACCTCAGAATAAGTTGGTCATCATCATGACTGAACTGATTATTCAGTGGACAACTAAAATGCAGTGGTGATGTTAACTTTATTCTTTTCATATACTTCAAACCTTTAATTACCAAGAAAAATATTCTTTAGTATCACTGAGGACTTAGGCTTTAAAAGTGAACTACAATAACTGTGGGATAAAGTAGAATCATCATTTTTGTTTTAAGTGAAAGGCTCTTCATTTTACATTTACTGTACTATACATTATTGATTTTTTTCTCTGGTGTTGTTCTTTGCAGAGAGTGAATCTGTCCTTCGATTTTCCATTTTATGGTCACTTCCTACGTGAAATCACTGTGGCAACCGGGGGTAAGTGGTTTTCTACCCATTCACCTTAAGTAATCTATGGTTTGACTACAGGTACTAGTTTTAATTTACTGTATATTTCAAGATGGATATTTATTGAGAAAACCATTGTCTTTTCTCACAAAGTCATAGGTATAAATAAAACCAAAGGAAGGGTATTGCTATTGGAAAAACTTTTCAGCGGAAAAAAAATATTTATAATAATTTTCAACCTAGATCAACTCTGCTTTTCTTCTAAATTTTGATTCCTTTTTTTTGGTAGTATGGTAAAACTGTCCAAATGGCAGAACTTGGAATAGAGCTAGATAGGAAGACTGCTTACTGAAGCTGCTGGTGACTTTAATTTTCTTTTAATGTATGTAGTTGCTATATATGTGTGTGTGTGCACACATGTATATGTATACATATATGTGTGTGTATATATATATACTTACACACATGTATATACAAAAACACGCAACCATATGCACATTAGCTTCGATCATTTTTTTCTTGACTATTACCTATTTTGATTGACAACTCATTTGAGAGTCTTAAAATAAAAGCTAAAATCCAGCTCATATTTTTTAAAGTTTATTTTTCACCACAAGCTTGAAGGTTAGTTTTGAGATTAGCAATATCCTAGCAAAGTAATTATCATTCTTTATTGTATATCTCAGAAGTCAGAAATATTTTAATCTTCAAGTGCTACTAGAAGAGATAAGCAAAATGCCAGAAAATATCCCTGTAAGCTTTATGGTGAAGGGGTAGGGAAGAAGGAGTAAAAAACAGAAAAATGGAACAGTAAGTAAAGAAGTAATTAAAAGAAATCCCATAGGTGTAAAAAGAGGCTGTGAGCATCTATGTCTAAAGTACCATAGACAGAGTCTCTTTCCTTCACTGCATCTTACCAGGAGTCTTCTGGATGGTGTTGAAACCATGGTGAGCATTGCCATATTTTTGCCATACTTTAATATAAGACCTGGAAGATATGTAGGATTCAGAAGAAGATTTGTAATTAGAAATATCAACAAGCAAATGGAGTTTTGTGAGCACCTACTCTGAGTGATGGTAAATAAAGCTACCTCTGCCTTAGAATTGTATAGGTTAGTGGAACATTAGGCAAAGTAAGGCAGAATGTGGAGAATTGCTTAGGAAATACAAATGATGAAATATGCCCAGGTGCAGTGGCTCACACCTGTAGTCCCAGCTACTTTGGAAGCCCAGGCGGGAGGATCACTTGAGCCCAGGTGTTTAAGACAAGCCTGGGCGACAATGTGAGACCCCATATCTACAAAAACATTTTAAAAATTAATCAGGCATAGTGGGGTATTCCTGTAGTCCTAGCTACTCAGGAGGCTGAGGCAGGAGGACCACTTGAGGCCAGGAGTTTAAGGCTGCACCGAGCTGTGGTCATGCCATTGCACTGCAGCCTGGCTGACAAAGCAAGACTCCGTCTCTGAACATAATAAAATAAAATAATTAGCTGGTATGGTGGCATGCACCTGTAGCCTCAGCTACTTGAGAAGTTGAGGCAGGAGGATCAATAGAGGTTAGAAGTTTGAGGCTGCAGTGAGCTATGACCACACAACTGCACCCCGGGCAACAAAGCAAGATCCTGTCTCTAAAGAAAAAGCAAATGAAAATCAGAAAAAGAAAAAACAGATGATAAGCTATAGGTTTCTAGGAATGGTATAACTCAAATATGTATGCGTCTTAAATGAGAGTCATTTAAGACTATAGAAAATTTGTTGTTCGAGGTGTTTCTTGGACAGTGTGAGAATTTCTATGGTTGTGTAGAGAAGGAAGAGAGGGTCACAGAGAGGAAGATCCTGAGTAAATATACACACGAGGAGAAGGGCTAGGTATGTTTGGGATAGTAAATAATTGAATGTGAGTTATGTCATTGGTGTCGTTACCAAAAAAATTGGCATATTAAGATTGGAAAAGTAGGTTGGGACAATTTTACAAAATGCCATAAGGGATAGTTTGAGTCATTAGCCCTTAAGTAATAAACTTTAGGAAGATGAATATTGATGCATGTATAATTCATTAAAGTGTAAAATTATTGAAGTTAGTACATTTAATTGGAAGAGTATTGCAACCATTTGTGTGAAAGATATTGAAGCCCTTGGTGATTTTTTTGCTTCAACCCGAGGAAAACAAATCATACCATTGGTACCAATCACAGAGTCAAGAAGTACTGGCTTTAGGGAGAACCAGTGGCTTCAGTAGTGAAACTTAAATTTTGTGTGAAAAAAAGGACTATGTCTAAATAACACTGTTCACAAGAAGTATGTCTTTTGAGCTTATCAGATATATCCAGTATGGTGCCAGGCATTTGATTAATTTTGTTGAAGGGTTAAATGAAAAGAGTAAGAAGAAAATTGAAGGATGGCCCCAATAATCCAAGAATCCTATCTTGTCCTCTCATGTCTTAAAATATGATAGAAATATGATGATCTTAAAATACAGACATTAGGCATGTTTTCTGAAATTTAGGTGAGCAGTGTTCTCTTGAATTTTTAAAAACTGAGCTATGAACCACGTGTGTTTAAAATGTGTACACACAGTGGTAAAAATGACAGCTTCGTATTTTCAGTTTCTCAAATTGTTTTATCTTTAAGACTCATGTGAGCAATTCAGCCAATATGAATTAAGATTTCCCCTAGAAGAGCTGGTAGGATCAAACCCAAACAGATGGCTATATTATCATTGTGACTTGAAAGTGCCATTTTCCTTTGTAAAGATCCTCAAAATAAGTGAAAAAAAATCTGGTGTCCTGAATGATCTCTATCTTCTTTCAAGGAAACACTAATGTAAAGACACTCCTTTTGTTTCTCTACTTAAAACATACTGGCATGCAACTTGCATATGTCAATCTGTGCTCTGTTTAAAGAGGTAGAGCCAAGATAATCTACACATTGACCTGGGTTTCTTCAAAATGAAACCTGAGTCTCATGTAAAAGTTTCCCGCTAAGTACATTGCTTGCTTGCTCTTTCCTTGTTCATGTCATTCAATCAGTATTTCTTGAGCTTCTATAATCACACAACACAAGATGCTTTGTTATATACAGAGAAGGATAAGCTAAGTTCAGGAGTAGAATCAAAGAAGAGGAAAGGGTGTTGATAGGGTTTGGCTGTGTCCCCACCCGCATCTTGTCTTGAACTGTAGCTCCCATAATTCCCACATGTCTTGGGAGGGACCAAATGGGAGGTAATTGAATCATGGGGCAGGTCGTTGCTGTGCTGTTCTTGTGATTAGTGAATAAGTATCAGGGGTTCTGATGATTTTATAAAGGGGAGTTCCCTGCCCACACTCTCTCTTGCTTGCCACCATGTAAGATGTGCTTTTGCACCTCCTTTGCCTTCTGCCAGGTTTGTCAGACTGCCCCAGCCGTGTACAATTGTGAGTTCATTCAACTTCTTTCCTTTATAAATTACCAAGTCTTGGTATGCCTTTATTAACAGCTTGAGAAAAGACTAATACGGGCATGATGTGAATAAGCAATAGAGAAGGCTGACTGCAAGTGCTGAAAGAGCAGAAGCTTGCTCAAAGAGGAGATGATGCTTGCTGGGCCAGTCTTAAGAACAGTCTGGGAAAGTGCTAACCTTTGACGTTGGCCTTAAAGGAAGGTAAAACTTTAGTAGACAAAGAGGCAATTGAGAAGTGGAGAAGGAAGAGGCATTCCAGACAAGGGGATGCTGAGCCAATGACAGTGCTGAGCCCATATTGGGCATATTTGGAGGGCTGTAAAGTAAATTAGTTTATCCTGAAGAGAGGGTTGGATTGAGTCTAGTGAAAGGGAGTTGGGAAGAATGACGTGGAGTACTTTGAACATTAGAAATCTAGGTGACATCCAGCAAGCATTGGGTTTCTCAGAGAAGTAGATCTGGCCTGATCTGTAAGTGGAAAGGGTGAAAGGGGTGAAAGCAGAAAAAGCAGTTACCAGTTTTTTGGATACTTTCTCATGGGATACGGTGCCTGAACTAGGATGGGTACAGTGGAAAAAGACACATGGACCCAGTGTAAGAACCATCATTTGAGTTTTTAAATCACTGTGGTCAGAAAGACTTCCAGCCAAAAGGATCCAGTAGGATGCAGTGAATCAAGCTAAGAACAGCTTCACGGACTTCTGAACCATAGACTTTTGATGGATCTCTTCTGTGATTGACCAGACAGACCTTATAATCAGACCAATCTTTTTGACAGATGCTTACAATCTTAAAAAGGTTCTTAACCATGGAAGGCTTGGGAGAAAAATGAAAACCACAAGTCAGATTAAATAAAGTTGACTGCAGGCCATTCTAAATAGGCCTGGGGCTGGGATTTCTAACTAGAAACACAAAGATGCCCTTTTATTGACTGTCAAGTTTTTTGTGTTTACAAATTCCTCTTGAACCTGTTTCTACATTGGGTATGGGAAAAATTAAAGTGATATGTTTTCATGGTGAATCCAAGGTGTGCAAATAAATAAAGTGAATGCTTTTAACCATAATCCTCTTCATCTTACTTCATGGTTTTGCCATTTCCCATATCTCCTTGAAATCTCTCTGTCTCCACACAGACACAAATTTAAGATTGAAATTAAGTCAAGATATTATTATCAATAACTCATGTTATTGCTAGGATCAGCATAGTTTAAAAATGGAAAGTTGTTTAAGAATATAGACATATGTATAGTTTACCATGGCCTGTCTTTGTATGTTATACATATCTTACTATGAATAAGCTTAAGTTTCTAATTTAAAATGTAAATTACAACTAAACATCTGCTCATTTATTTATAAACTATAAAAATAAAATCTTTGCCTATTAAGCATTTTAATATTCAAAAGCTTCAATCATCCATATGTACAAAATGAATTGAAAATATCATCTTTATTTTCTGGTTCACTGATAGTGAAATCTGAAAGTATTCATTTATCTTTCGATGTCAAAAATACTTCAGAATACAAATATTTCAGGCACTAGAAAACTACTTCTCTGTGAATTTCATTAAAACATTTCCATTAGCGATATC